GCGCCCGCCGGGCAGGCTGCTCGGGCGCTGCTTATCTGCGCGTGCGCCGGGCCTCGGCCATGACGCCGTCGCTCGCCCGCCGACGAGCAGCGGCTCTTCGGTTTATGGGGGAGAGGGCAGGGAGCGGCGGCCCGGGGGCGGCCGGGCGGGTGCCGAGCCCCCACTTCGGCCGCAGCGCTGGGAAGCCCCGTCCTCGCGCGCTGCCTTCTTCGCTGCCCCGGATGGCCGGATTCCCTGTCAGCCAGGAACGGTCGGGGCTGAATCCGGGGGCTGAGTCCCGGCCACCGGGCCTCTTTTGGCTCGGCGCGTTTCGCTGCCCGCCCAGGCAGCTTCTCCAGCCCCGCTGCATGACTCAACTCCAGACGATGCCACCCGGATGACTGAGAACCTTCACCAACATAATGATGGCCAGGGATGAAGCGCAGGAAACCCGTCTTGGTGGAATGAAAGGCGAACAGATCCTGGCCGTGCTGACCCAGGCCGCTCGGCTTGGTCTGGCCTCTGTGCCGCGCGAAGGGTGCCTCTGAGCATGGCAGCCCAGAATGCCAGGAACGGGGATGGCAGAGGCGAGCAAGCTGGTGCCTCCCGAGTATTTGGATGCTGGTTTCCATTGGTCCCGCGAAAGCATCTGCGTGTGAGGCTTTCATTCTGCGTTGGAGCAGACCCTTGCAATATTCAGTGGCCTGGCAAACACATCTGTGGACTTCTAAGAAATAATATCATCATCGTTTTATCCCACCTTTTTAATATATAACTCAATGCGGCAAATGTACTTCATACTCCTTCCTCCTCCTATTTTCCCCACAAGAACAGCCCTGTGAGGTGGGTTGGGCTGAGAGAAAGTTCTGGCCCAAAGTCACCCAGGACTTTCATGCCTAAGTTTAAATAAACGTAATTAATTCATGCTGGCTGGGGAATTCTGGGAGTTGAAGTCCACACATCTTAAAGGTCTCAAGGCTGAGAAACACTGGTGTAAATCAACTGCTTTTATTTGTTTATACCACCTGACTCCCAGCAACTTTTCTTTGCCTGATCAGATTAGCATATTTTCAGCAATAATTTATAATCATCATAAATGGCATGCTAAAGGATTAAAATGTCAAACTAGCTTCCTGTTTGGGTCATTTTAAAAATCTCATTTTCCTAGTTCTGCCTCTCACCCAGCAATTGCCTGTATCCCCACCTCTGGGACAGACTTGAGTAATGAAATTTATTTCTGAATGTATTTCGGTATGAATTACCTACAGCCAGAATTATCAGACATTTTAGTTGCTTAAGCAGAAGGAAAGTTTCTTCTCATCATGAGCCATATGTGGGTCTTCTGAAACATGTCGACACACGTTGATGGAGCAAAAGCAAAAGTGGTGTGATCAAAGTGGAAAGGAGACATGTTGAGAGCAAAAGGAATCTGTTAGCACCTTTTCCAACTAACAAATGTTAATAAACTCTGTAAGGTTTTGTGAGTTATAGCTCATGGCATGAGATGCATAGAGTGGCTAAAATGTTATAGAATTTAAATTGAAATGGAGGAAGTGAGGGGTAGGTAGCCCCTCTCCTCCATTTCAATTTAAATGCAGGTTACATCTGAAACAGATTACAACTACCTTATCAGTTAACAATTGTAATGGGTTAAAAACCCATCATGTTTGCTGAAACTTTTTGATGTGTGTGGCTTCAGCAATCTCTGGCTCAATCATGGAGTTAAATTCTCCTTTTTCCAAAATTCAGATCTGTAACAGAGTGTCATGGAAGGTTCAAATGCTCAGACATTACTTTGTCCTTGTTTTGAGTCCTGATGTCAAACATTGCCTAAAGTTCCTCCTATTTGTCCTACATAGACTCGAAAGGGGCATTGCCAGCACATGATGGTGTATACCATATGAGAAGAAGGGCATGTAAAGGCACCTCCAATCTTGTGTGTGAAGTTGTTTGGGCCTGTGATGGTGCTGTTGGTGTAGATGTGGGGGCAAAGTAGACATCTGGGTTTCTTGCAAGGTCTCCATGTTGACATCCTTGTCCTGTTGTTTCTTGTGGCTTGTGAGAATCTGCTTCAAGTTGAGTGGTTTTCTGTAGGCACTTATGAGCCTGCCAGCCAGTGCGTGAAAAAGAGCAGTGTGATTTCCCAGCATGGGCTGTAGCTTGTTAATAATGTGTTTGAGTGACTTGAGCTGTGAGCTCCAGGTGACAACTGGTGGTGATTCTGTTTTGTTTTTGTGGTCCGTCTGTTAAGAGATCTGGGAATTGGTCTGGCTCTACTGATTTATCGGTTCATTGTGTTGATGGGTATTTCAGTCTCCTGAATGCCTGGTCAACAGAGCATCTCTGCCAAGCGAGTTAGAACAAGTGCAGTTGTAGCACAGATGATACTGGCGGTGTGTTCTAGTTGGAAGCTGAAAGCATGTAGCTGTACAGGCAACCTACAAATTGTCACGCATACCTGTGTGCTTTCAGCTTCCACTCAGAACACACCACCGAATCTTTGCACTGGTTGACAGTCCTTGTTTTTTTAAAAAAATGCAACAAACACAAACCCCACAGTAGCCTAGCAGGGTCATAGCTGTGTCATACTGCCCGAGAACACTTTTCTGGAGGTTTAATAGCTGCTTAACCAATACTGTGGCCGTGAGTAAGCGTCTGGCCCTCAAACAGCAACGCACAGCCGGGGGAACACAATTCACATGGTGTGTCCATCAGGTTTAATGCCAGGAAAAAAGGGGTGAGAGTACAGTCTTGCAAACTGGATAAGCAAAACTCCAGCCCTCATTTATTAGTGAAGTCATTAAGGTGCAAGTTTCTGTGAACTGCTTGAACATCTTTCCCCCCGTAACATCATGGTTAAGATAATGTATACGAATCACATCTTAATCAGTTGCAGCATCTGGGTAAGCTAGTTTGGGCTCAGAAACTGAACTGGCCAGGTTAGTTCCTAAATAAGATATCTAGGAAATAACAGGGCTACAGTCTAGTATACTATATATACCATACATAGTGTGTGTGTGTGTGTGTGTGTGTGTGTGTATGTATATGTGTATGTGTATGTGTATGTGTATATATATATATAGTCTGTATATACACACACACACACACACACACACATACAGTCTATAGCAGTGTTTCTCAATCTTGGCAACTTTAAGATGTGTGGACTTCAACTCCCAGAATTCCCCAGCCGGCTAAGGAATTATATATATATATAGTCTGTATATACACACACACACACACACACACACATACAGTCTATAGCAGTGTTTCTCAATCTTGGCAACTTTAAGATGTGTGGACTTCAACTCCCAGAATTCCCCAGCCGGCTAAGGAATTCTGGGAGTTGAAGTCCACACACCTTGCCAAGGTTGAGAAACACTGGTCTACAGTACAGTCAGAAGACTAAAGCAAACCACTTTTGTTACTGTGTCCTTGATGTTATCATGAGTCAAGCTCAACTTGAGGGATGGACAGAGAAACCATGCTGACATGTGGTTAAATCTCTCCTCAGTCACAATCTGAGTCACCCTCAGATGACATAGTTTGCCAATCAGCATATGATGTTTTAAAAGTGTTTTTGATTAAATATTTCCAAGGCAGAAAACAGTAACAGATCAACAACATAGACATTAAATAATTGGTAAACAATCTAATGGTAATAACAGCAGAATTACAGAATTAGATAATTCTAAATTCTTCTACATGAAGAATGATCCTCAAGTTGAAGCCTCTTCCATCTATTAAATTTTTCTGCTTAACATTAATTAGGGGATCCATATCATGTGAAAATGCCCTTCAGTTCATTACAAAGTATTGCTGAATTCTTAGAATTAAGATGTTTGAAGAAGCGATTTAAATATTTTTTTTAGCAGTTTTAATTTTGGCCGAGGAAGGGTTTAAGAAACTCAAAAGCCTAAAATTGTTGGCTTAATAAAGAAAGGCTTCTATGGAACTTTGATTTTTTAAAAAAAGTTGAGTCAAGTGAATACCTGAGTTCATTGCATAATCAGTTTTGAATTTGCGGTGGTGTTATTAAGTCAGCTTTCTTAGTTCAAATTTAAACAGTATTTAATTTTTTAAACTCTATGTACGTCATTAAATTTATATATTGCCAAATCTTGTGATTCTTGCTAATTCATAACAATTATCAAATATAACAATAACACTTTTGAATTAATCTTTTTCTTCTTTTTCCAATAATAGATCAGTGCTGAGGGAGGAGTTCTGCATGCAGTTCAGAATGACAATCCCGACTTAACAAAGGACTATTGCATCTATTATAATTCTAACTGGACTTCTCTTCCTGATAGTTTATCTAACATTGTAAGTATTTATACATTGTAAGATCTGAATGAATTTCAGTTGGGGACATTTGACAAACCTTACACATTGTGTTAAACTGTCTTTTTTTCCTTAACCCATTATGACTGGGTCAACGGATAACACTAAGCCACAATGGCAGGATTCACACATTATGATAAGCAACAAGCCAGCAAATCATGTTATGGTTTAGTACAATGTGGGAACCTAGTCAGAACCTTTCGGAATCCCTGTGGGAAATGTCATTGGCCAGTGTGGTAGAATAGAGTGGTGGGGAAAAAACACAGATAAGGCTGGATTCATACGTGCAGTAGAATGATGTGGGAGTGAAATATTTCAAAATGATAAAAGTTGGGCTGGGTGGAGGATCACTGTGAATACCACCTTTGTTAAATTCTCTGCAAGGAACTGTAGGAGAATGTTGGATTCCAGCTTTACTTGCCAGGAGTCTTTCAGATTCAAAGGCAGAAAGGTGCTTTAGGAAACAGGGGCACACAGATAGGAGCTATCTCCAGCTCCTTAAAGCAGCTGCATCTTTTCCCAGAAAGAGCGGCAGGTGTGGAAGGCAGATTAGCGATTCCGCGGGCTTTAAGGAATTGCAAACAGGTGCTGCAGGAATGCCCCCCTTTTGAATCTGAAGCCCTGCACAGCCCTAGCCTTTAGCAGAAAGGTGAGCACCTTGGAAAATAGTATGTGCTCCTTGTATTCTCTTTGGCGGCGCATTTACTACTTTGTATTACAGACCCAGGATTTTAATTTTATTTCCTGTAAATAATAGGAAGTGACAGAAAAGTGGAAGAAACTGTTCCAGCTACCTTGCAGAAGTCTCTTGTGTGTTTACTTTTTAACTTTTTGTTTCATTTTTAAACATTATTTATTTATGGCCTTTTAGGCATATGCAAGACTGGTGTTCTTGACCCCCAAAATGCTGTGTAGTCCATCTGACGTTACCCAAGATATCAAGAACAAAGCAGTCGTAGTGAAGAGGGGAAATTGCACTTTTCTAGAAAAGGCAGAGATTGCTCAACGGTTCGGTGCTAAATTCTTGCTGGTGGCCAGCAAATCTCCCATGGTAAGGTCCAGTTTTACACAGATGATTGTTTTCTGTCTGTATTTTGGTGCACGGAAAATGATGTGTTCATTTTCCAATTGTTATTAGCAGATCTGTGTGAGTCTGATAATCTTTTACAGATTATTCTAGTAGGTTAGGCCTGGGCCCTGAATCTGTGGAATCCTATGTAACTTTTAATCAGGATGTGGTTTAAACAAGCTAGACAAGTTTGCCTACTGTTTACTTCTAATTTTTTTTTATTAAATTGAGGGATTTTTGATTTTCAGCTAATAGGGACTCCCCAAATGACTGTAGATTAAAAATCAGTAATTAATAGGATAGTCCCTGTCTTGATATATAAGGCTTAGCTCCAGAGGAGACATAAGGAATAAAAAGGAGATAGTCTAATTCAGTAATCAGTATATAAAGGTTCAGCTTGAATAGAAGCAGATCAGGAAGAGGCAGAGCCTCAGCTGTGAGGAGATGGAGTGAAGATATCTCAGCAGCAGGAATCCTGCAAGTCCAACTCTGCCGCAGCCTAAGGAATGAAGAAGAGTGAGAACTAGCACTCCATAGTTATGTGATTTCTTTTGACCTTTTAGATTATACGTCCCAACTGATATTTCATAAAGCAGAATCCTTTACTGCTAGATGGGGCCTGAGTGGGTTGCTTCTGGTGGCAAAACTTTTATTTAGATAAACAGGCAGTCCTTGGTTTATGACAGCAACTGCTTCCGGCTGTCCCGTTACCGTCGTTAAGCGAGGACCGTGGAGATCATTAAGCAAGGGCCTCTTGACTTCCTGCCGACTTCCCCATTGACTTTGCTTGTGGGAAGCTGGCAGGGTATGTCCGAAATCGCAATCACACGACTGTGGGGATGCTGTGACAGCCAGAACTCTGGGGACCAGTCCTTAACTACCACTCGTTCAGTGCCGTCATAAGTTTGAACAGTTGCTGAATGAGTGGTCGTTAAACAAGGATTACCTATATCTTCAGCAATATCTTTATTTCCTCAGGCATCTCAGGTGGCATCTGTAGGATCTCCAAATAGTTTTCCATTTATCCAGGCAGGATTAGCTTAAGCAACACAGTTGAACTGTGGGCCTTTTCAAGAGCTTGTGAAGGCAAAGGATGAGGCCCAAACTGCATATTAAAGGGAGATACGTGGAAGTAAAAATGTGTACATAATGGATAACTCTGGAATAGGGGGACTGTTAAAAATTGCCTGGGAAAGATGGGAGAAATCGGGGCCCATTTTTATGGGAAATGTCTCATGATTTAGTCAAATCTAGCGATTGGCTCAGTCAGGCAGATGTAAATTTAGTTTCCTTTTTCTAGCATGCTCCTGGAGGGAACAAGACCCAGAATATCACCATTCCTGTTGCGCTCATTAGAAACACGGATATAGTTGATTTGGAAGAGGTACTTCATTTTCACACTGACTTTTTGTACGCGTGAACAAGAAAAACAAAAGATTCCCGTTGGAAATTAATAGATTTTGGTTTCACAGCACGGCCTTTTTTCTTGGTCTCCTTCCATCTTTTAATATTTAGTGACACCCACATGCACACATTACTGATGGTACGGTATCTTTATTTCGTTTTCAGTTTCTGATTAGTAGTTTGGAGTTTGAGGATTAATCTAATTTTGAGAAACAAAGGCTTGCCAAGAAATCTTTCCATTTGCTGATCCAGGATAAATTGCCTTTAGTGCTGTGTTTTTCACCTCTTAGTGGATTCCTTAAAAAGATACTAAATAAAACAATAGCTTTTCTTTCCTGAAACAAGTATTATACATACCACTTAATTGAGATTTTTGCAGTATTTGTCTATATATGATATTAACTTGATAAGCTTCCTTTTTTATTCGCTGTTGGCTCTTTTTCTCTTCCCCTCCGCTTCTATGTGGCTATTCCTCCTCAGAATCATAGAAGTGATCTTAGAGGTGATCTAGTCTGACCCCTGCTCACCACAGGATCCACTAGAGTGGTGTATTTCACCCTTGGCAATTTTAAGGTGTGCAGATTTCAACTCCCAGAATGGCTAAAAAACACTGCACTAGAGCATCTTGATCAGTTTCTTGATCCTATGTCCTTCAGCAGAAGAGAATTTACCTCTTAACGCTTCTAAGTAGATTATTAAACAGCCAACCCTTTACTCGCAGTTAAGAACAATCTTACATTTAGCCCTTCTCTCTCACTGCTTTTCACATGGCTTCATTGCGACTGGCAGCTTGGTAGAACTTGCAGAGTTAAATTTTTAATGCATATTTGTCCACCGAACTCTCTGATCGTAAGTGGGCTTAAGTTGGCTGGCCAACAAAGGCAGAGTAGTGATGAATGGTTATTCAAATGGGGAAGGATTTGTTTTTTTAATTAATTAATTAATTAATTAATTAATATTTCAAATTTGTCACCGCCCATCAAACTGCAGAGCGACTCTGGGCGGTGCATGTCTAATAGTCAACCAATATTTCTAACTGATGTGTTTATAATTTTTAGACTCTTGGAAGAAATGTTAATGTGGCACTATATTCACCACCTGAACCCCTCTTTGACTATAGTATGGTGATCATTTTCCTAATCGCAATGTTCTGCGTGTCTCTTGGAGGCTACTGGAGTGGTAGAGCAGAACTGTGAGTTTAATTTTTGCTGTAATTCCAAAAACATTTCTAAAGTTTACTGTTACCATAGAGTTGCGTTCGTTGGGCTTCCGTTCCCCTTGCAAACTTCTTAGACTCTGGTTCTGTTCTTTAAGTAAATTGATCTGTTCATATGCAGCTAAGAAGTAGATATCAAAAAATGTGTATCTGAAGGACAGAGACTGCGATGGTAAAATTTTCTTTCTGTAGTGCAGAAAGTGGGTTTTTTTTTTCTTTTTGTAGAAACCAAATACAACTTTGGGACGCAGGAATGCATTGTAAAAAGTCATCAAATAAACCTTGATCTTTGTCCTTCTTACGCTCCCCTTTACTTATACATTGGGTTATATTTTGGCATCAAACCCGAAAGTTTACTCAACAGGATTTTGTCAATCCTCATATTACTGCAGGCAATTAAAGAAACTGTACACAGTTGCAGTCAAAGGGTCTTTTAAAACTTACTGTAGGTTATCCAAGTGTCCCCAGTATTTGGAATCTTTGCAGTTCATAAATGATTAAATAATATGCTGGTTTACCAAAACAATTTCCACATTTTCTCCTAAATACTGTATATGTTCAGCTTACTGACCTTGGTGCAGCTTTGTAAAATTTAGCTTGCAAGATTACTTGAATTTTGAGTGGAAAGTGGCCAATAAATAGAGAGCCTGTGTGGTGCAGTGGTGAAGGTGTGGGACTAGGAGAGGGGAGAGCCACGTTCTGGTTCTCCCTCAGTCACAGCAGCTCACTAGGTGATTTGGCTCCAGTCATTTCTCAGCCCAACTTGAGCTTCTGTGCAAAAGGCAGGACAAAAACCTTCTAAATAAATAAATGAATAAAAACAATTGTTTGCCAAGTATTATTAGACCCTGAGGGCAAAGTTGTTGAAATAAAGAAGTGTCACGTGTGGCAATTTTCTAAGGGCTTATTTTTATCCACACAGTGAGAAGCTGAAGCGCGGCCCCACCTCTGGAAGCAGCAGCTCCTTATCAGATGAAGAAAGCCTTACTTTAACCCCTGTGACAGTTGTCATATTTGTGACCTCCTGTTGCGCTATGCTGGTTTTGATGTATTACTTCTACAAATGGCTCGGTAAAGGACATTTGAATTTATCTAGCCTGTGTTTTGAAGGGAAAACTTCTCACTGGGTTGCTGGATCTCGGTCCAGGTAGCAGACAGGGCTTGCACAACTGAATGCATTTGATATTTTAAAAGAAATGTTGGATGGATGGATTTTGAACTCAGCTACTTCCTGATATAGCTATGGATGCCAAAAGCATTATGGACATTTAAAAAAGCAAGTCTCCCCAGTGCAATTTAGGCAGACTGTTCGTGTCTCCAAAGTATTTTTTACAAGCACTTTTTTTTTTTGTAATTTGTACAACAGCCCTGTGTGGTGGTTATGATTATGATTCCCATATTGTAGGCTGGCTATAAGCTGCAGAAAGAAATGTGTGGTTTGCCTAAATTTTGGGTCTGAATGTGATCCAGGATACTTCCTCAGGGATATTGATAAATGCAGCTTAAAAGCAGGAAGAATAATGGAGACCTCTGTACAGGTAGTCCTCATTTAGCAACTGCCTGGTTTAGTGACTGTTCACAGTTACAGTGGCGATGAAAAGTAACTTTGCGACGAATCCTCACATTTACGACCTTCACAGGTCTGTAAAGCAAAGGAAAGCTGAAGTAAGATCATAAGCACAGTCGCAGTTTCACTTAGCATCCACTTTGCTTTACAACCAAGTTGCCAGTCCCCGTTGTGGTCACTAAACAAGGACTACCTGTATCCATTTTTATATGAATCTCTCTTCCCCGTTACTGAAAGATTGATGGTCAATTGGTTCTAGTCAGTTTGTTCGTAACCATGTCTTTCTTCTTGTTTTCTCTTATCTAGTGTACGTTGTCATTTCCATTTTCTGCATAGCATCTGCTTCAAGCATGTATTCCTGTCTCTCTGCCCTACTTAAAAAAATACCTTATGGACAATGCAGGTACGGTGCTCTACTCTATACGACTTTTTTTAAAAAGAAGTTCTGTGCCAAATAAAAATAATTTCTTTTGCAGTTGAAAATTAAGTCATTCAGTTTATCAGACTTTGGATGCAACAGAGCAGTTATTTAGTGATGGATATGGAAAGTGAATCAACTGGCATTTTGCCGCGATCAGAACACTTCCAGGTCCAAAAGAGATTAGTTGCTACCTGTGATCTCTGTGAGACAAATGGGCCAATTAGAATGGCCCATTCCAGGCATCTTATGGATCCAGAAGAAATCTGATGGGCGCTTGAGGAATCTTGGGTAGGCAATTCCACTGATTGCCTGCTTGGCAACTGGCAACAAGAGGTGATCTGGGCTTTTGACCTGATTTTGACCTCCTCCTGAGTGGCTGAGGGTTTGTTCCTTGATTTACTGAGGAACTCCAGGAGTTTAAGTGAGAGAAACGACTCATTGAATGCTGGTGGAGAAAGACCGGAAGTGAATCTGTCCAAGCCCAAGTATGAGCCCAAGTTACCGGAAAGCTGAGAAGGAAAATGAATAAATGTTAAGAAAATATTTTGCAAAGGTAGATGGGATCAATAGTTAGCCAGCTTATGGAAAGACATGAACAGAGTGACCTGAAATTAGCCAAGGAGCAACCTGTGGATCATAGCTGTCTGCAGGTATTTATTTATTGGTTTATTTAGTAAATGTAGAAGCCCCATGACTCCAGAATGACTCTGGGCAGCTCTAAACACTTAACATGGGAAAACAATAGAGAAGTTAAGTGTCTGGACCTACAGAACAACAAGCAACCCATTCAGGGCTCTGCAACCTGCCTACCACAAGGCCTGGGGAAACAGCCGGGTTTTTGAAAACTTGCATAACATTATCAGGGCGGATGCTAAATTGACGTCTGGGGGATCTCGTTCCATACCCAGAATGGCAAAGAAATGGTGACGTGCGACCGTGGCATCACGACGCAAAGCCCGTCCTTTCATACTGCTGTTCTTTACCTTTTTTCAGTGAAGCTTATTCTTTCTTAGACCGAAATGGGGGGAGGAACCCTGAAATTTGCTGAGTGCGATACTGTATTTAGCAAAGCTGCCTTTGCTGCCGGAAAATGTGCTCTGCATCCCGTATTTGTAATGCAGATTTGTTCTTGCAACTGTATGTTTAGGTTTCCATGCTGGAACCACGCCATCGAAGTGCGGCTTGTTTTCCTCGTTCTGTTTTGCCTAGGACTGTCGGTCACCTGGGCTGTGTTTCGGAACGAGAATAGGTAAGGGAAGGATTTTAGGCTGCTTCCACGTTGGAATAAGCCCTGCTAGAAGAAATCATCATTTCTTCTAGAAGAGAATCAACAAAGAGGCACCAGGATGTATGGGTGATTGTTCAATTGGAATCCCACCCCTTTTATTTTTTTCTTCATGCACGCGGGGCCGGTGTACAGGAGTGCCCACCGTATTGGGTTTTTTGTCTCTTCTTCCCCCGCCTGCCCACCCGCCCGCCGGATGCCTCTGCCATGACGTCTCTTCCCCTCTCCTCCCAAAAAATATAGCTACGAATCTATAAAAATCCAGTTAAGAGAAACAAAACAATTTTAGAAAATAGAAATTAAAAACCGCCGAAGTCTTGTGCGCTTTGGTGTCTGTGTGCATATTTTAAATTTGCGAGGGCCGAAAAGAAATATCGTTTGGGTCAGGAGCTCAAGCCCACAAAATTGGCTGTTAATTCATCTGTCTTGTATTATACAAGCAGGACTGAGTCACCAGTGAGAATGATCAAGTTTCCTCTTTTTGATAACACGATTTTAGATTACACTGAGTTCTTCACTTGCCCAAACCTTCTGTGTGTATTTACTCAGAAGCCTGTGGCATTATACTCAGAGGGTCTCTATCCATTATTGTGTTGAGGATTATAGCTTAAACATGTATATGTAGCGTTCTTGTTCCTGTGCTTAAACATAACCTATTTATTTTTATTTTAGCTGGGCTTGGATTTTACAAAATATCCTGGGAATTTCTTTCTGTCTGAACTTTATTAGAACACTCAAAATGCCCAACTTCAAGGTACAGTAACTTATTTAGCTAAAATATATGAACACAACAGATTACAGAGTGAAGGAAAGAGAGGTGTCTCAATTTGTGCTGACTGTAGCCTTAAGTTTTGTCTGCTAGAGTAGCTCATGAAGATTCTCCCCAAATAAAATTTTCCTTTTCTGAGCCATCTATGTTGAAAAGGCCCTTGGGCACTCCAACCTGTGACCTGAGGGTTGGAAATGAATTATAAGCTTATGTGTTTTCATGACTGTGTTTAGTATTAATTATAATTGATTGGTTAACTATGGTTTGCAGTTGCCTTCTATTTCATCGTGATTAGCATCAGAAGGGGGGAGGAAAAGGAGGTAACAAGTGAGTTGTCAGCTACAATCTGATCCTGTAGAATTTAAGTTGCTTTCTGAAGCTTGTGCCTGCCATCCTTTTTGTCCCCTCTAGAAAAAGATGTTTTAACAATTAAATTATTTCTTGAATTTTGGAAACGTTACAGTTAACTTTCCTTGAAAAATGTTACATGTTAATAGCAGAGATGCTGGTTTCAGCTGCTTTTGTTCCTTATATTGTATGGTTGGAAATGGAGCCAACGCATCTGCAAGGCTGGGAAAAGTCATGTGTTTTCAACTGTTATTCATAGACATCAAGTAGAAAAGGATACAATAATTGGATTATATTAAAATAATGAACCTAACAATTATAAGGGCAAAAATTAGACTTCTAATTTTGACCTGAAGACCTGAACATAGATTTGAAAAGTGATAGCAGGAATGCATTGGATTCTTCTTGTTTTTTTAAAAAACATAAATGATAGATTAATCTTTTAAAACTTCCTTTTCTGAAAATTAATTGGCTGTGTAATCTGTCCTTTGATTGTTTTTACTGAGGCACAATCTTTGGGCTAGATTTAGACTGAATCGTATTTGGAGTCAACCCACTGAAAACATTGGGACAAAATAACCTTGACTGAATGCCCAGGGAAACCAACATGTTTACTCTGTGCCCAAAGAATTTGTGCTTCTACATATGTTTAAGGTCACTACTAGAAAGACCATAGAAAAGAAAAAGAATCCCAAATATGGAATCAGTGTCTTTCAGTATTTTGTTAAAGTTTGAAAGGATACTGCATACATGTTGTTTTTTTAAAAAAAATAAACATCTGTTCTTTGTTCTCTAGTCATGTGTGATTCTTCTAGGTCTCCTTCTTTTATATGATGTATTTTTTGTCTTCATCACACCATTCATTACAAAAGTAAGTATGCAGGTTTTATAACAATTATTTTCATCATGCAGAGGGTGTTTGATTTTTAACGTACTGTTTTTATGAAGAACATGCTCCGATACAGTGAAAGTTTTAAGTGTGCAAGTCCAACATTTTGATGGCCTTGACATTTATTCCTTGCCAGAGGTTTATCTGCTTCCACGTGGCTAGAAAACCTCATGGGTGGTCCTTATTAGTCAGATATGTTCAAATGAGGAATGTTTTATATTTTTTTCAAAATACTGTTTTCTGCACTGAGAATTGTAATTAAATTAGGAAGAGAGTTATGCCTTTCCTGAAGAAACAGTGGAATTTTAAATGACCCAGAAAGGAAATAGTAAGTCAGTGTTGTACCTTCAGCTTTAATGTTCAGAAGCATCATGGTCAAGTTGAGTTCGTCAGAAGAAATCTAGACAATGAAGCTCAAAGGGAGAGGTGGACATTAAATTGTTAGACCACTCCTTGCCGTCTGGACAGGAAACAATCTCTGGAACAAGAATATAAAAACTATGATTTCTTAGAAGGAAGATTAAGGGTACAACCCAAGAATTTCAATGAGAACTCTGCTTTCAGATGAGAGATGTAGACATAGACGGTTGAGGCCCACAGAACTAGTGTGTTTTCTCATGCTCTTTCCATGCGGAGGGAGGTGACTTGCCTCTTTTGTGAAGCCCCATCAGTTTGCATCTTTTCTTTATTTCAGTAACTGCTATTCCTTTTATTACATGAGAACTAACTCTCACGCAAATAGCCTGAATTTAGAACAGAACCGTCTCACTCTGATAAAACTAGCTTGGATTTTAAGAGGTAAAAGTTAGGTGTCTCGTGCACTGATTTCATCTGATCCATACCCAACGTAGAGGCAGAAGACTAAGCAGTGGGACGTTGGCTGTTGTCCAATGCCACCGGATGCCTTTGTGTGGCACTGTGATGCCATTAAATTAGAGTAAGGTCTAGATAGAGTGAACAAATAAATTCCAAACATTTACTTCCAGGACTTTTAAATATTCCATACAACTTATTCCAGGCCCAGAAGTCCAATTCTCAAAGTCTAGAGACTAAAATTCCATTATTTATTTTATTTATTGTACAAACATTTGCATATGTGGTCTTTTTGCCTTCTGCATATTTAATTTTGAAATGTGCTTAGGCTTCATGTCCTTTTCTGCATTTGGTATATGTGTTTGAGTTTTTTGACCTGGTGAAATTGCATCAAATCGGCCTGATTTGATGCTTGTTTCTAATAAACTCGTGAAATAATTATAGTTGCAGCAAAATTGACTTAGCTAGATCTGCTGTAAGTCAAACAAAACCAACGGTATTATCAACTTTGGTCTGATTTTGCTTTTTTAGAATCATCATCTCATATTAACTTGTACACTTCACTGGATTATGAGCAATTCTGGCTCCTAATTCATTCCATTTTATATGACTTTGCCAGTGAATGTCCTGGCCAAACTATACTAGGTGCTAAAAGAAATGCATTCAATTTTAAATCTCTAATATTGAAGCCCCTGTACTTCCAAAATGAATGATTCAGCATCAATATTCTTTTCCAAACTTTCAGAGTGGGGAAAGTATCATGGTTGAAGTTGCAACAGGACCTTTTGAAAACAGTGAAAAGGTAGGCATGTTCTCTTTTGAAAAACCAGTAGCTTCTGTTTGCACAGGTTGGGTATTATAATATTGATAGAGTTTTCTTATCTCCTCCTGCACTTGATTTACATAAACATGCAATCCTGTCCAAAAGCACCATTTTGAGATCTTGGTGAGAAAGTTCATGCAGGGCTTGTCTTTTTCCTCCTCAATAATGCAGTTTGCTTGGATAGTCCCCTTAATATTCTGATATCACGTGCTTACAGAATGTAGCCATTTTTTAAAATCTTTTTTTTTTTCGAGTATTAAATGCTTGTTGACTTGGGTTTGATCCTAGAATGATGGAAACTTGGTGGATGCCTCTGCTGAGCGGTCAGCTTCTCATGAGAAAGTAAGGACTGTGTTTAAGATAAATTCACTGGATTTTAAATAGCCTCCTTTGAAAAAGAATAATAGCCTTTGAGGGGGGAAACCTGATTCTCTGTCCCCTCCACATTTATTTCTTCAGGGTCTGGATCTAAATGTTGCCCAACCAATTTTGATCAGGCTAAAATCTTGTTCTTGTTTCACGTGGTGCATTTTATGAATCATACGTCTGTGGTGTCTGTCTGCTCTATACAGATGTGTTCTCCGTGGCTTTTGTGTCTGATCATACTTTTCCACACTCTGCATCTTGATTACTGTTTTTTTTAACGTAGGTCCTTCGTAATAAGTTCTGCGTAAGCTAGATGAGTAAATGGTTCTGGTAAAATTTAAATCTATTTTTTGTGAAACGTCCTTTGGATTGGTCTTACAGGGGGGTTGAAAACACTGTTTTTCAGTTGCCCGTGGTCTTCAAGGTGCCCAGGCTGGAATCGTCACCAGCAATGTTGTGTATGAGACCGTTTTCATTACTTGGATTTGGTGATATTGTTGTGCCAGGTAAGTGCCTCTTTCAGCCATGGTGTCTTTTTCACCATCATAATATGGTGCTTGGGCCAACACGGGCAAAGAAGCTTTCACATAATGGTCGCGTGGGTCTTTTTAAGTCCATCTATTGCAAGTTTGTAAGTTTCTAAACCATTCTGTACACACATGTACACATACTCTATACATGTATATCATATGTAAGAGAGAGACTGAGTATATTCTTCTTGCTTCCCTGTTTTTTCCCATTAAGTATAAAAATGATGGCAACAGAGTATCTGCAGAATAAATTCTAATATAGCTAAATATAACCCAAAGAATTCTGTGGGGCACACTCCCCAGGAAATAAGCTTCCTAGGTCCTAATTTGCAGTCCAGGCCTCCACATATGAGTTTGGTTGGGTAGAAGGCTCATAGGGTTCTCAGCATGAAACATTTATCTTCACTCCTTAATGTTTTTCTTTTCCTTTTGAAAGGCAGAAAAGGCAAAAGAAGCAATGGAAAACTGGGAAGGTAGAAATAGAGGATGGTTTCCCCCCACCCCCCCATCCCAAAATTCACAATCAAAGCAATTGCTTAGACCAAGGTTGTTCACAAGCAGTCATAATCCCCATGTCAGAATTCTGGGAGGGAAAGACATTGAGGCTGCCTAGGAAACTTACAGCTCTCCCAAACCTCAGTCATTACATAATATTTATCTGCATTTTTGGTCTCCTGGTCAGTTTCTAAAGCGGTAGTTAAAAGGGCTGTCAGAAATAAAAGTCAGTTGGGCTGCCCTGTAATTAGGCCTTGAAGTCCACACTGCAGCTTTCCTTGGTGCTCTTCCTAATGGCCGCTCCAACTGAGCAGCCCCTCCTGATCCTCTTGGGCCCCTTCCATGATTTGAAGTGCAAGAATGGGCTCGTGCGGTGCAGACAAGGGCCGTGGACTAGAGCGAGAGTCTGTGTTGAGGCTTGGGTTATGGGGTGGGATACAAAGACTGGAGGGGCAGTGGCATCTGCAGCCGACTCAGGGACACCAAAATAATGACATCCACATGACATCATCATCAAATACCACCAGCACCTACTTGTGTTCTGACATCTGACACAAGTAAATAAGTCATGGCGTTCGTGTGGTGACATCATGCAGTCCTCTCATTTGCCTCCCATTGTGGAGCCCCACATGCAGAGGAGCCAATCACAGCCCCCTCTCTAAAGCAGACGTTACGGGAGCCTATGCAAAGAAAGGGACAGAATCCGTCTTCCATCCCCATAATTCAGCCTCCTGTTGGAAGTGTGCATAGTAGCATTGTATAGTGGAGACTGTTGTTTTGATGACTTCATTTTCTTCCTGACAAAATATCTCTGACTTATCTTTCATTTCGGATGTTTTTTTAAAGGTCTCCTGGTTGCATACTGTCGCAGATTTGATGTTCAAACAAGCTCTTCCTCTGTATACTTCATTTGCTGCACCGTAGGTAATCTATCCCAATGATTACTTTGAAAAGTGGTATTAGCAATTGTGTCTACCATGCCTAGCCTAAACCAAGGAGCATAAACATCTGCAACATTCAGTGACTTTTTTTTAAAATGTTTGCCTTGTTCTGCAGCTTATGGTGTCGGCATGTTGATCACCTTCTTGTGTCTGATATTGATGAAGATGCCTCAACCAGCTCTTCTCTATTTAGTGCCATGCACGCTCATAACTTGTGCCCTGGTTGCTTTGTACCGCAAGGAGATGAAAAAATTCTGGAATGGGAATAGCTATCAGGTGAGGAGAGACCATTTGGGTTCTGTGAGCAGATGCTGCTCGTTCTTCTTCATACAGATGGGATAGCTTGGGAGATCCAGAGTGGTCACAGCAGGTTAGCTGTTGAACTAAGATTGGGGGATTTGGGTACAAGACCACTCTTGGCTGTGATAATTCTCTGTCTGATGCTGACCCACTCAATGCCCCTTAGCCCAAGGTAGCTTACAAGACCGTTGTTGTAGCAATAGTATTTGGAGGCAGTATGTATGCTGCCTTGAGCTCCTGGAGAAAAAGTGAGATACCAGTCTAGTAGTGTGTGTGCTTTCAAGTCAGTCTTGACTCCTGGTGACTGCCTGGACAAGTCCCTGCAGTTTTCTTGGCAACGTTTTTGGAAGCGTTTTGCCAGTACCTCCTTCCTAGGGCTGAGAGAGAGGGACTGGTCCCAAGTTGTCCAGCTGGCTTTGTGCCTAAGGAAGGATGAGATCTCACCATCTCCAGGTTTCTAGCCCAGCGCCTTAATCCACTATACGAAACTGGCTCCCAGTAATCTAAATAGAATTAATCTTAACTAAATACCTTGCTGAAAGAGAATCTCTTTTGAAGTAGACCAGGAGGGCAGAAAGTGTGGTCTTTGGGCCTGAGAGGGTCATAGCCAGTGTGCAGTGCTCTTTGCCCCCTTCCCTCGGTCACCTCCTGGATCCGCTTCCTGCCGTATTCTCTGCCTGCCCCCCACTTTCTTTTTCCCCAGGTCTACCTTATTTTTCTCTCTGTGTATCTGACTCTCTTCTCCTGTCTGCTTCCTCTCCATGTCCTCAACTGCTTTGCTTCTGGGCTTCCCTGCATATCTGCCTATTGGCTTGGCTGTCCTACCATTTCCCCATCCCAGATGTTGACTCCACCCAAACCCCTGCACTGTACTCCCCAGTCCCTGCTCAATCGTTCTCCATCTCATTTGCTGTTACCCAGTCCTCCTCTGCCCTTGCAGCCTTCTGCCAACTCTACCTGATCCTGTCCAACCTGCTTTCATCCTCTTCTCTAACTCCTTGCCACCTTCCCTAGTCTCTGCCTACTCCCTTGGCACTCCCTTCAGGACATGGATCGGATCCTCAGACTGACCCAAGATGTGCACCCTTGATGTGGGTGAGTTGCACAGCTGTAGTGGTTAAGACATCTGAAATCATTCTCTCTTCTGATTTAAAAACAATCAGGTTAGACTGACAAATGGGTTGTGGTGTAAGCTTTTGTGGGTCATAGTCCACTTTGTCAGATGCATGGAGTATAATTTATATATCCGGTACATATGAAATCTACCCAGCTGTAGTGGGTGGGGAGAAGAAAAGAGAAAAAGGGAAGTGGTGAAAGGTGGAAGCAGAGAGAGAATTACGTGGTATTTTGACCAAAACCAAATCAGTGATAAGTTGTGACCCCAAATAATGTCAAATAAGGTCATCTGATTGTTGGTCCTGCTTTTGATACGACCATGGGTATCGGGCTGTTTGGCATCTGCCTAAAACTGGAAGCGATTCTTTTCTGTGCACAATTTCGGCACCCGTTAGCAAGATTGAGATGGATGGGTTGAGGTCACAAAAATTCCACTAACGGAACCAGTTCTAAAGCCACTATATTCCCAAAATTCATGAGGGCGGAGATTTCTTTATTGTCTTTTTAGCTGCCTTTCTGTGAACTGGTGAGCTCCCAGGTCTGCTCACTGGTAATGGAGGAGCGTGCAGCTGGATGTTTACCCAGAGGTCTTCTGAATCTTTATCAACTGGGGAACCCATCCTTGCTGTAGGAACCACAGAAGCGCAGCTTAGTCCAATAGGGGCTTTGTGCCTCTTCTCTAGCCTCACGTGGGCCCAGCTTCCCAAGCCCCACGCAAAGGATGGGCCTAGGAAATAATTGGTAAAAACGTCATTCAGAATCAGCCTCTTTCAAACGGGAGTCCGCTAGCCTTAATGCCTCAGTCCCACTTCTAAACTAACAAAAGGCTATTCATATCTCAAATTACAAGTTTCATTATTTAGAAGGACTTAGGTTGCCATAGCAATAGTTTCATACGCTTTTCTCAGCAAGCAAGGGTTTAAATTGCTTTGAACTTTGGATCTTTGTGTCAGCGTGATTTAGTCTGGAATGAGAATTCTAACTCACAATACGAGAATTTGAAGGCAGTTCAAACATTGGTCTCAGAGGAATGAGACCTTTAGTCTAGTCTTTCTGTCCTCGGTGGCAAGAATTCTTTTCATCCTACTTCATCCTATCTACCTTGCACTTTAAAAAAAACAACAGTCCACCCGTCGTTTTCCATAAGTTCAGGCTGCGTGATTCAGCCAGCTATTAACATTCAACACGAAGTGGTGAAACCTGTGCATAAGAACAGGAGCAAAAGTCACCAGAATTGATTAACTGCCAGGTACTACGTCCAGATTTGGTGGGTGGGAAACCCTTGAGTTTTATTTTAGACTCCGTTCCAACTTCCGAGCTACCTGCGCTCAACTTCATGCTGGTTTTGCCAGAGGAGTTTTCTAAAAACATCACTCCCTGGAAAAAATGTACTTGTTTTGCTCTCCTCGCATTTGAGAAGCAAACAAGTCTTGGCACCGAAGTGCAGTGAGCAACCTTGCGGTGCTGTTTCTGAATAAATTTCCCACCCAACCAGATTTTTGAAAAAATATCTAACGTGTTTGCTGTTACTAAACAGTGATGTGGTTAATACCATCCCTCATGAAATATTTTGAGAAATCTTAATATAGTATGGATCTTGATCTTGTTGCATTCTCTTTTTCCTCAATTATAGTGGCACAAAGTGAAGGTATTTGGAGCTTGCAGCTTGACCTTGTTCCTAGTTAGGCATGTGCGTAAACCTGATTAGGGACTTCGTTGGGGTTTCCTGAAATCTGTTTTCAGCTCTTGGGACCTGTTGCGTAGTTAAAGCTTAATCACAGCATCTTGCTGGCTTGTGTTTTTCCATCCACCCATTTTAGTCTAACTTAGCAATGATGATAAATGCTGAATCAGCCAAAGAAACCACAGGCTAGCTTAGAAAATGTTATAAAAATAATCTATATTTTCATGGGCTTCATCCTTAAATGGAAGTAGGTATGCTAGACATTTTTCTGTCCCTCTAAACACTTCCGTTAGCTCTACAGTGTATATAAATTGCGCAGCTTTTGTGCTCATATTGCCTTAAGTACACCTGTAGTAGAAAGGCAGGGGATAAATTGGATGAATAAATATATTTTGTTTTTATTTTATTTTATTTCTGCTGCTCATGGAAAAGGACAGTGAAGGGTACTGGGGACTTGAAAATCATAGCTAGCTTCCTCCAGCCTCTTTGAAATGTCAGCCGTTATTTCCAGCAGGTTTCCAAACATGTCTTTGCCAGCCAGAACTACTGTAGCTGATTTTTACCATTCAGAAGTTGCACTGGATGCTTTTACAAGCCCGTGGCATTTGCACACGCTGAGCTCTGAGGTTGCTGGATCAAGAACGCTGCCTCCTTCTCCACCACCCTCCCCACAACAGCGTGTCTCTGTGTTTCAGCCGATGGAGCCAGCTGAATTGCACACAGCTTGAATGTTTAACAGTTGCCTCTCCATCTTCCCGCCTACCTGGGTTTATTTTTGGCCTGAGTTGGCAGCATGTTTTTTTAAGTCTGCACTTTGGTTCTTGATGCGGGGAGAATCAGACACCAGCATTCTGTCTGTGAATGAGATCGGTGCCAGATTTCTCACTCTGGGCCTGCTTGCCCTCTCCTCCAGCTTAGGGCAGCATCCGCTTGAATTTCTTTTTCATGGATCTTTTTTCTCGGCTGGGGTTCTATTTTTTGCCAGCAACCTATGGAAAACATTCCCCGAAATTATGGTGGCTGCTCTCATTGTATTATTACATTTATAAGACCACCCAACTCCATGATGACTGAGTGGTGTACCATACAGTAATAACGTACTCCTAAACAGATACAAATGTATTTGCACCAAAATAGGAAAGGAGGATGACATTCCACGTATCTGATGGATTTGCTTAACATTGAAAGATGTAAGCAAATTTGGAGTAGTCTGTTGGATGTGAGGGCGATCTGGCTGTGACGTCAGTCACCCTATTGATTGCCAGGGTTGATTTGGCTGATCTGGTTGGCTAGGTGGGTTTTCCCTTCTTTCCTCACTGCTCCATGTGCTTCTCTTCCCAAACTGCGCACTTTGTGGAAGAGGACAACCATTCTAGATAGAAGGAATGTTCCAATCTTTGGCCAGGTATACAATAGGTGCAGTAGCCTATAGTGGTTGGCCCATTCAAACAATCTCATCCAGCAGGGAGGTAAGTGAGGAGAACCTAGAGAATTATACTACCTCAGGTTTCCCCTCTTCCTTTTGAGCATGGTGGGCTGGACCGACGGATCATTGCAGTTCCAACCCAACTAGAAGGTGTTGGTTAAGGGAAGCTAAACTAAAGAGAAGTAGGGAGAAGTGTAGGCCTTTATTAAAACTCTGACTTAGCAGCTGTGTGTCTCCCTTGCAAAAGAAAGGCTGATAAAAGAAGAAATTGACTTTAAGTGAGGCAATCATGCTTTGTCTGAATCTTTGTCTACCTCCTTGAGCCAGCTAGCTGCCTTGTAAATAATACCAAGCAGTCAGCCAGATGTCCTTCAAATGTTTTGGACTTCAGTTCCCATCAGCCCTATCCTGCAAATAAATAATTGCCTGCCTGTCCTGGTTTGCCACCCCAAGGCAACTGCACCTAAGGTTAGCATTGGTTCTGCATTGTCTTGGAAGAGACCCACCAATGGCTGTTGCTGCTGCCAGCCTCTAAAGAGCATTGCCTCTAGTTTCCCCTTGGAGGCTCTCAGTGCAGGGAGATCCTCAGGACAGGGAGGTTTTCTACTCCACCCCCACCCCAAGGGAATAAAGACATGAAGTAGGAACAGACAAGTGATGGTTGCAAAGAGAGCCTTGGTTGCCTTTCCAGCGGCATTCGTGGGAGACTCCTTGCCCAGGATGATGCGTGTTGAGTCAAATGTTTGAGCATTTGAATGAACAGAACTATCCCTTTCCAGCAGCATCTGCTTAGACGGCCAGTACTTCTGCAACAGGTCAGCTACAGGCTACACCAGCCTCATGTCCTGAGCCAGTTTAAGATAAGCAGCCTGTCACACCTCTGACTATACTACAGATTCAGATCTATTTGGCATCTGTCCCTTTGTCAAAAAAGCCGTATGAATTAATGCGCGCAGGAAAATACTTGACTCGTTAAAAACAGAAGCAAAGGATACATGATAGTCCCTCTCGGTCCCTTTCTTTTAATTGATAACATAAAAATATGGCAGTCTGGATTGCCCAAGTCTCACAGGTGTAGCATTTTTTTCAGATTCCATCTCCAGTTATTGGTTTGACCTGAAAGTGATTTTCTCTTTGCATTTTTTTTAAATCACCCTCTTTGGCTTCAGATTTCCTGGCAGAAATATGTTGTGGAAAAGCACTTTTTCCCCATTGGCTTTTAGAAAATATTGACCAACTTCAAGAAAATGAATGACTTACCTGTATGTTGGTTCTTTACTTTCTGGGGAGTTATGGGTGTTTGTTTTTTTTTAAGTCCCCAGGTTTTTTCTCCAATGCTAAGATAACAGCTGCTGATTTTGTGAGTGATGGACAGCTTTCTTTCTCTCATAGTTGGACAGTAAGAGTATTTAAGTTGTTAGAGCAAGGATACTTTAGGAATATGTTGACCAGGTTCACACATTTGCTTAATCATGATTTACTAAATCATAGTTCACACAATTTGCTATGCCCCAAACTAACCACTTTTTGACTCCTACAGTATGTGAATCCCAACCATTATGTTTTGTTTGGGTATTATATAGCCCAACAGTTTGCGTTTCTGACTTTAACCACAAATTCTGGGTTCTTTTTCTTCCCATGAATCAATGTGTTTTTAGGCTTTCCCAACATTTTTTGTAAGTGAAGCTCATAGAGATTGTTTTTATGCTGTCTTAAAGCATCTTACAGTTTCTCTCCATAAATGTGACATGTGTATGAAGTACAGTAAATTGTATCTGGCTGAGAATATCTAATACTCTTGCTCAGCTTATTTCCAGGATTTCCTGAAAAGAGGAAATGACCATTTTCAATTTCTAGTGCAAATCACCCACCCACCCACACCCTCCAGATGTATGAATTTGGAAACCAATAGCAAAACTTTAGTGTTTGTGTATGTTGCTTCTGAACTGTGGCTTTGATTATTCAGTTAGATAAACCTTCCTTATCTGTGGTCCTGGCTGAATGCCATCATACAGTATTGGTTATGTTATCATCTTTGTAGTTACCTAGCAAAAATAGAAAACCAGAGATTTGATTACATATGATTTGTTTTGTACTCAGGTGATGAATTCTGCTTCTAATGAAGAAAACGCCACACAAGCCACTGAACACCATGAAGGACAATAATACATCACCGAAAATAATGTACTATGATTTTCTACTCAAATAATAGAGACTGGTTTAATTTTTAAACTGGAATATTTCATACACTTTATTATGAAAAGAATTGCCTTTTTTACACTTGCACATATATTTTTGTGAAAAGTTTACTATTGATGCTCTCAGAATTGTTAGAACATGTTATTTCTTGAGGTACCAAACCATACTCAATAAACCTGTGCCTTGCTTCACTTCGAAAGATTGTTGCCTGTGAGATAGATGGTACTTCTAATCGATTATCCAATTTGCTCCTGCATCTGAGGCTTCCCAACTAAAACTTTATCTGAAGCATGTAGGAGCAGAATCATGCAGACCAGAAGTGTCTTACCAGAGGTCCAGCTAGCAGAAAATGCCAAATGATAACTTGGTTGGGCTGTAGGTTACTGTGCAAATACAGGGAAGCAACAAGGGGCAACTAAGAGTTACATGCAACCATTTAATCCCATGGGTGCAGTTCCCAGAACTCCAGGATGATGCCGACATTCTGTAGAAAAATATATGTTAGATTGCATCCAATGATTATCCCCCCAAAAAGGAAAATAGAGGCACTGAAGCCTCAACATGCTCATTTTTAAAAATCTTAAACCATAAGAAAACAAACAAAAAGGCGAGATGTTCAGCCCTTCCTTTTCCATTTTCTACCAATGTCACAGTCACCCCCTCTTCATCTTCAGTGGCTGAAGGAAAAAAAAATATACAACCCATGGCCTCAAAAAGGTTCCCCACTCCTACAATAAGACACAGGGAGTTAGTAATTCACAAAGTGAATGAGAAATGGACTGATCAGCTGAGATGAACCCATTAACTCATTGTTATAAACAGGAGTTCCAGTACTTAATCCATCGTGGGCTAATGAATATTATTTAAAAAGTGTTTTAAGATAAAAATAAAAACAAGCAAAAACCAGAAACTTCTTTTTTCCCTTTTAAACTTAAATATGTTTAATAAAAGTTTGAGTTTCAAAATCAGGGATTCATTTTCAATTCTTCCTGGATTGCAGCTGAGAAGGGAAGCTGCAGTAGAAATAGAGGGAGGGGGGACGCAGCAAGATAGATTGATTCTCATAACTTTCTTAGAAATGATAGAATTAACATAACTTTAAGCTCTCAGTAGGGATGCAGTAGGGATAATTCTGATTATCACGGTCATCTTTTCTTAGAGAAGTAATTCTTAACTGCAGTAGCTCATACAAAGGAAGTGCCACAAAATGCAAATGAATATTCATTCTCAAGATGGCCAAGCTTCCTTTTCTTTTGCATTTTCTAAGCATCTGGGAATAAGTCAATTCCAGTGCATTTTTTATTTTTATTAAGTAGAAAAACAACAGGAAGAACAAAAACAAAGGAAAGGAATACATATACATACATAAAAATACTTAACACTATAATCCCTAATTCATCTTTTACTGTCATCACTGTAACAAATCTCATCATTTGAATTTTTATTTCAACCTACACCTTAGTGCAAAGCTTATGTAATGGTCATAATACTAATAAAAAAATACATTCAACTCTAGCATTTTGATTTGAAAGAGATTTCCTATTTTTAACATCTTCTGGAAGTGCTAATGAACAGTAGTCTCGTACATTTGAGCACCAACAGAGTTTTAAACCAAAGATACTTGGAGGAATGTGGATAAGAGGAAAAAAGACTATGAGCAATGCCTCAGTTCAGATGTAATGTGAGAACAACAGCGTAACACAAACTTCCTCATTTGGTGCCTTCCAGATATCTTAGAAGTGCAGCTCCAGAATATTGTTGAGAATTCTGGGAGTTGTATTCCCCACATGTTTAAAAGCCATCAAGTTGGGAAAAGCTGGAGTAACTAGATAGCATAGATCTTCTCTTGTGAACCAAGTGAAGAGACTGGAAACTTTTAAAATAACTTTTCATTATGTTTTCACTCAGGAGAAATAGGCTTCATTTAAACAACTTCATTTAAGCTAATGAGAAGTCTAAAAAGCAGTTTAAAAGCACCCTTATCCTTTTTAATAGTTCCATATTTATAAGTCACCTCCACAAGAGAGATCCATAAAGCAAGGATTTCCTCTAAATTTGTAGGCTGTCTGATAGCAATTTAAAATTTTGATTTTGTGTGGGCTTCTAATTTAGGGTGATATTTACACACATAAAGAAGGCTATCTTCATGAGATCTTCCCTCCCACACCCCAAGGTGTAGACAACAAAAGGTAGAATAGATAGAGGTACCATAGCTACAATTCCTTAATCCAGATAGCAGATTATATTATGTTAGGGACTTTCCTGGACCATTTTACAGAAGAGTTTCCATTCACTGTTAAGCAGAATAAAGAAGTGGAAGATGGCCTACATTTTCTTGATGTACCGTTGGGATCTTCTACATATGTTTTCTTGTAAGGGACAGGGGCATGCTGCTGGAATATTTCCTGTTTTTTTTTTTTTAATCATTATTGATGGACCTTTATTTAATTATCACCTGAGTCCTTTCTGTCAAAAGGCTTACCGATCATGTGAGATACATCTGAAAGAACCAAGGATGCAGAGCAGGGATCCAACTGGTGACTGACCAGCAGGTTTACAGACCTGAAAAACTTGAAACAATAATTACCAAGCTTTCTTATCTCATTCCCAACATGATCCATCTTTCTCTTTTGTTTTTAATTATTCTTTAGTCAACATGAATTCAAATACTGGCAGACTACCCATTTTAACACTGGTTGTAATAAATCAAGTGAATCTGAAACTTATATTTGTATGATGGGCACAAAAGAGATCCTTTTCTCTTAAAATGTCTTTGATGTGATAAGAGGCAAGGTTAAATTGTAGATAAAAGATTAGTTATAGTTTTTGCTTTAATTTTGCTGGGTTTGAGGGAGTGAAAGACAGCCAGAAATGTCTTGACTTTAGAAACTGAATAGACTTTGTCTATTTTTTTACATTATATTGTTTGATACTTTGGAATTTTTTTTTAAAAGATCAATAATTTTATTTGTAGAGGAATGTCAAATTTAATCTTGTTTAATGTCTAAGGTTCATTGGATTACATTTGTAAGGAATAGAATTGACAAATTATCTAACAGGTTGTTCACTGAACATGCATTTGCTTTTTTGGGAGAGTGAGAGGAATAAGTATGATTCAAATTATGACAAATGTTGCAAGGATTCTCATTTTGAAATGTCAAATTAACAGTGTCTGCATGGATTATTTAACAATATTCTTTAAAGTTGGATACTTTAATTATTGGCCACTGAATAGCATGATAGGGCTCACATTGGAAACTTCATAAAAGTGCTTAAAAATTCAGTTGGCCATTTTCACTTTAAGAGCCTTAGTAATAAGAATTACTGTAACAAACATAGTGCTGTTATGGCAATAATCCATTCTGATAAACACCTTCCTTACTGCTTGATTTCTGAAACATTGTATATTTTTGTTTTCTAAGATTATTATAATTTGGAAAAAAATTTGTATCAAATAAACTTAGAGCAATAATTGGGGTATTATCCTTGTGTTATTTCCTGTCTGGTTTGCACATTAAAGTATAGCCTTGCTCACATCAATATAGTCATTAACTGTCTCCATTTGCTTTCCTTGGAAAACTATTCAAAGACTTCTACTCCTCAGATTTTAAAGTTTGAAGATGCTGGTGGAAGCTTTACATATTTCTTAGTTTTTAGTTCTGCCTTTGCTTGATTTTTACACATTAGTAGTTTTGATTTGAGTCCATGATACCTTTTTATCTTCTATATTGGAAGCTCCTTGAATTCTCAGTGTTCATTCTTCCCATGTTGTATGAAACATTCCCAGTAGCCTGAGACTTTCCTCCCTCCCTTCCTTCCTTATTTCGCTTGGACAATAGAAAATGTAATAATAAAAGCAATTGAATCAAAATTATAGAACCATATTTATGAAAAGGGGGGGGAGAAAAACAAGCAAAAGCTCTATTCATGAATCATTCATATAAGGAACATCTGGGCAAAGATTTGGGTCTTCAGCAGAGCCTAAAATATGTAATCGAACACTTTCCCGTACTTTGATGAGTGAATCACTTTAGAAGTCAGGTTCATAGAGAAGGGTCACCCATTAATAACTACCAGATAGCTCTCTGCTGTTCTTGGAACCTCTCTTGATAATCTTAATGATTGACCAGGTCTATAATTACCTGTAGGACAGGCAATATGCCTTGAGTAAGGGAGCTGCTCAAATACCCTCCAATGGTCCACTCAAGTGTTGTAACCCCCCATGCATTCTGGGGCCCTTGGAGAATGATTTAAGCATGGCCCCTGTCACAAAAAGGCTGCTCACCCCCAATCTATTGATAGATACAATTATCTGGGCTTCCATAATGTGCTAAGCCAAAATGAGACCACACTAGGGTTTAGCATGTTGGGCAAACACAAGCAATGTGACTGACTTCAACTTTTGATACAGAAACGTGAGAATGAATATACCTTGGGTTAGCGTTCATGACTGAGCAGTATATGAAAATTGTGGCATTTTAAAACTGAAATATATTAGACTAAACCTCAACCTACCTGTTCTACATCTAGTTGAGAAGGTCCATATTAAGAGTGCGCACAAGTGCACTTCTAATGCTATACAGTCAATTGGTCTGGGATTTTTAAAAATAATGGTGCACACATTTGCTAATACAAACCATTTCATATTTTTCTTTGGCTGTGATATAACTCACTGACCTTCTGTCTTGACCTATGACATAGCTCCACATAGTGAAGCAGATACAGAAGTATTTGCCTGAAACATTTTGTAGTTTGTCTCCTAGGACTTTAACATTTTTCCTTTTAGCAGCAATTAGCAAAAAAATACAAAAAAATATTTTCAGTAACTTTGTTTTCTTTGTACCAGACCTGACATTGCTAAGTACCATTTTCATAGTACTAGGGATAAAAGTGATCTACATTGTCATACAATTTATTCCAAACAGAATGACAAACTGCCTTTTGTGCAATGGTGTCAGGATGCATGTGATGGCGTTTGCCCTTCCTTGTCATCACCCACCCACCCACCCCCAGTTACCTACAGCTTAGCTTCAAGTGCAAATTGTTTTAAGGGCTGTACAGAAGCAATAAAAGGACTAGAACAAATGTTCTTCCATTTTTCACACAGGGTAGTGTTTGAAGAAGTTCTCCTTTAAAGATACCTCTTAGCTTTAAAAAGGAAACAAACAGATCATCAATAGGAAAGTTATACAATGGAAAGGTTGTTTGCCACAACTCCCATGGCTAAAGAATTCAACTAAATTTTCCAAGTACTGAGTTGTAAAACATGAAAGCAAGCAGGCAAGCCTGGCCTGGCTTTTTCATCTGACTCTTCAAGAAAAGAGTATGTGGTGGGACACACGGTTTCTCCCTTTGAGGTGCCCAGCTGGGGAGGACAGAAAGATATATCAATTTATTTAAGAGGACATATCAGATACTTAAAATAAAATGGTCTGTATATAAAAAGAGGTGCAGTTTTTATGGGCAACATCTGCAGTTCTGACTGAGATATTATAGTATTTTAATCCTGGAGCAAAAGGAACACAGAACTAATGTGTGCTAGAGAGAGATTTGTTTGGTCTCCATTTATCAGACACTGGTTTACAAATATGCATTTAGGATCTGGTGACTACAAGACAATTTTAAAGAAAAAGTAAGAGCAAAGCCCCACAAAACCCAAAGATTGTCAGGAATAAATCAAAGTAACTGCATTTGCTCCTATGTGGCCTCTTGCTGTGTTCCCAGATGCTCCTTAGTTTTCTGAGGAACTCCTGGAACTAGCTATCTGATGGATAAAGTCACTTGGATTTGCTCAGAGTTGGATTCTAACTGGGCAACCCCTGTTGATGTGACTGAAGCTTGGTCTGGTGGGTTTAGTTGGAATGAGGTGATGGTACCCAATTGTACATCTTGACCCCAAACCCTCCAAGTGATGCTATCAAGGTCTTTTTCCAAGGCCTGAAAGCTGTGAGGGTCTGAATGGGAAGGTGCGTACTCCAAATTGGCCCTAGCAAGACAGATTGGCTGAGAGTATTTGGTTGCCCTGATCCCACAAATGTTCCATCTTTAGTTCAGGATGGAGTTGCACTTTCCCCTTCAGGATTGGGATGCAATCTGAGGGTTTTCCTGCATTTGTAGCTTCTGTTCAGAAAGAAAATTTCAGCTGTGGCCATGAAAACCTTTGCATAGTTCCACTTTCTGCACCTGTTGAGTTCACTCCTGAATTGGAAGGTTCTTCATATGGTTACTTAAGCTAAGACATCTTTGACAAGTCTATCCAGCTTCTGCCTAAAGGTATCCAATGAACCCACCATTCAACCATTTTTGAAATGGTTACCTAATACCCCTCAACTTTTTTCCCAAGGAGATACATTTAAAGAGGAGCAACAGGATTACCTACTTGATTTTTCCCACTAAGTTAATACTGCATTTCTGTATCAATTATATCCAAGTTGGTATCAATGTGCATATAACAAAGGATCTTTTAAGCAAATTAACATTCTATTTTTGCCAGTTCTAAATCACTATTGTTTAAATGCTTTTATGAATCTTATTTTCATTGCAGACCATTTTAAGAGCTTTTGCAGTGCTCCGTTCCCTCCCTTTTGCTGCTGTGATAGAAAGATGCAGACATTTATTTACCATTTATTTGCCTAATCCTGGGCACATTGTTCACATACTATAACTGTTTATAGCATTTTTATACAGCCTGCTCACACAATGTTCTTTAGGGAGAGTTCATAGATTTTCTTTAAACCATAAAAAATGAAATTACAACAGGAACCTAGTGAAAAACGTTAAAAAAAGAATAAAACCACCAATGGAGAAAACAGAAGCACTAAACTATAAAAAAAACATTCTCCTTCTCCCTACACATATAATAACAAGGGCACTTAAGAAACTCACTTGGCAGTGCATTCCATGTCTGACAAGATCTTCTAGGTAAGCCACCCACATCTCTGGGGGTGGAATAAACCAGATAAGGGCTTCTGAAGAAGATTTTGGGATCCAGGCAGAGATATGCAAAGAGAATTGTCTTTCATTTACTCAGTTCTTAAAACATGTAGGCTTTAAAACAGGGTCTTTAAAATATTGAAGAGGGAAATATAAGAATCTGTAGTGTAAGCCTAAAAAAGATCTGACATAGTTGCAACAAAAACCAAAAGCAATTTCTCTCACCTTCCCCCCCTACCCCAAAGAAGAAAACAGAAATTTTGGCACTAATCACACAGATGAATGGCCTCACCCCCTTGCATCATCTTCTCGTTTATTGTAATATTTGTGCCTTCAACCATTAAGGGCGGGCTTACATACTGAAATGTTGGCCACCTGAAGCTGTGCAGTAATTCTAAAACGAACAATATATTAATATTACATTTATAATATTATATTTATGTGACATGATTTTTCACAGTTGCCTAACCTTTGTGTGTGTACTATT